CATCTTACTGCGTGACTGTCCATCTTACTGCGTGACTGTCCATCTTACTGCGTGACTGTCCATCTTACTGCGTGACTGTCCATCTTACTGCGTGACTGTCTATCTTACTGCGTGACTGTCCATCTTACTGCGTGACTGTGCATCTTATTGCGTGACTGTCCATCTTACTGCACGACTGTCCATCTTATTGCATGACTGTCCATCTTATTGCATGACTGTCCATTTTACTGCATGACTGTCCATTTTACTGCGTGACTGTCCATCTTACTGCGTGACTGTCCATCTTACTGCCTGACTGTCCTTCTTACTGCGTGACTGCATATCTTACTGCGTGACTGCATATCTTACTGCCTGACTGTCCATCTTACAGCGTGACTGTCCATCTTACAGCGTGACTGTCCATCTTACTGCGTGACTGTCCGCCTTACTGCATGACTGTCCGCCTTACTGTATGACTGTCCACCTTACTGTATGGCTGTCCGCCTTACTGTATGGCTGTCCGCCTTACTGCATGGCTGTCCGCCTTACTGCATGGCTGTCCACCTTACTGTATGACCGACTGATCTCCTTATTGCGTGACTATAACAACGCCCTTACTGCTTGACTGACCGAAGTTTTGTAATTTAGCATCTGTCTCTACAATATGAAAGCATCGGCATCTTACCGCCAGCCACTGATTGGTCGTATGTTATATACGTACTGATTGGCCGTTTGTCGCCATGGTAGCATTGGTCTATTTAATTGGAAGTTGGATGGTAGAGGCATGGCTTAGTTTGGCTTCGCATTATTTTGGAATTGCGTTAATACGTCTCCAATTTTCACTCACGAATAAAATGCCGGAAACCAAAACATTCGCTTCAAAATCTTCGTCCTGCACCGTGCATTCAGCCTTAGATTCATATTTTTCTCTTTTCGTATTGTTCTTTTTCATGTTGTTCTCACGACGCAGTTTTCTATCTAATGCACTTATCGTGAACTTTTCTCCGCAATTAATGTGTGTAAGCTTTACAGACGTTGGAATGATGCCAAATTTTTCTTGCCAGTTTTATGCCGACTTTTTTGGCCACTTTAGAGGTGAAATGCTGGTGATAAGTTTATTGGTTAATGATCAATTTCTTTACTACCGGAAAATGTGCAAGGTAAAATCGAATCTAATTATAAAAATTATTGAAGTAATCGTCTAATTTGCATAGCAAGTGCGTGGTGCCCTTTGCAGTGCATTCTATCTTGTCATTTCTTGCACAAAACATGGTGGTGCTAGCTCGAGGAAACGTGGTAAATATTATATGATAGACTTTCAGAACTATCGTACTATAATGAATCTTCAAACTAAACTTTACAAGATTGAAAATTGGGAAATAGTTCATTATTTTATTTTTGATTATGTTCTCGGAAAATATTTTTGAGGCATTCTCAACAGTTTGTCTTTTATGTAATCGTAAATGACGATTGACTATTGAGGCAAACATCATCGCGTTGTTTCCAGGACTTGGATCATAGGAAACTTGAAGGTTTTCCGAAATATGGAAATCAATTCTGGCAATCCGGATAACTGGTTAGACATGCCGAAAGATTTTTGTGTCTTTTACGTCTTTAAGATGAGCGTTTGGAGGTCAGTGATCGTAAAGACCGTGACTCAGCACCCTGAGACTCGTTCCCCTCGTCCCCCCCTCGCCTCCCCAGACCTTTTGAGGTTAACCAGATCTCTTTTATGAACTCTTCAATTGCAACTTACGTACAGGAACCTGCAACTGAGCTTCGATCGGTCCTTCACGAATATAGATTTCTTCTTTTATTGATTGCTTTGTATGAATGTCACGTTTGCATTGTTTTAAGCGTTTCAGATGCTAGATGATAAATTTTTTTTCAAAGTATTGAAGTTACTAAAGCAAATTACTGATAAAATTTTAGTAATATCTTATTGATAACTACTTATTAATAAAAACTGCTGATGATAACCTGTTGATATCAATGTGTTTACCATTTGTCTCGCGCAATATTCCTTGTGATACTCCAAAATAATAGCGTTTTTTTTAGCTAAGCGACTCAATTCATTTGAAATGATGACTGCGATTAGTGACGAAATTTGTTTATTTTCACTACGTAACACTACCAACTTTTCTTAGCAATCCGATTATTTTGGCAGCAACAAAAAACGTATTATAAAAATAGTAATGTGAAAAAATAATATTAAAGTTATTACTAAAACAACTCCCTGATTATTTTGGCTGCGATCGTTAATCGTCGCTTTTTCAATCATGTTTTTTGGTGAGCGACAGAGACCAACCAGCCAGGACTGTCGCAGCTCTGCTGCGAAAACAGCACGACCTTGAGCATCAAAGGTCTATCAAATAACACGAACAATGATCGAGTATTTATCATTTATTTACTATTTCTGAGAAGGTCTGAAATGCTTGTTTTTTTTAGATTTCTGTACTGCAAATTAGTTTTTCTTCTTACCTCTTGTAAATGCCAACAAACTTGTTTTCGTTTCACTTCTGTCACAAAATTTAAAAAAAAATGCAACAAGACAATTTTTTTATATAATCGGTGTTGCAACAGCCACGTATTTTCGAGATCTTTATCCATTTTGAGGATTGTTCAAAAACTCTCGCGATTCTTGTGTAATTTTTAATGTTTAATTTTTTGTGGTTTAAATTGATGGTATTTTGCGTTACTTTTGCTGCCTTGCCTGCGCTGCATGACGCGCGTCTCAGTCGCGGGTAGAAGGCTCGCACGATTACCACTCCGCGCGACCTCGGATTAGTTACCTCTGAGCGCGCTGTGCATTTTCATGAGAAATGTTTTATATGTTTTTTTATTGTCCAAGTTTTTGAGACAATAGTGGTTATACAAACGTATTTCTTGAATCGATTCTTCGTCGGAGAAGTCATTGTCGATTACAAAGGGTCAATTTCTAAATTATACACAGCTTTTTAACACAAAGACAGTTGTCACTATCCTTTCAGCTATGTACTTATCTTACCAGATTAATTTTTTAAGATCTGACCTTTTTTTTAATTTTTGACTAATTATTTTGTTTGAAGTTCAGAACGTCGCTGATGTTTATATCGTGACGCTGCTGAAAACTGCCGTCCTGTCGGGAAGTTAATTTTTATTAGGTAATTTGTGCCATTTTTTGCAGACGACGAGTGGGCTTGCGACGACGTCCGTCCTGAGATCAACGGACTTTCGTGGAAAAATTCACCCCCCTCTGGAGGAGGAGGTGGAGGAGGGGGTCTCTTGGGGGGGTTAAATGGTAACCGGGGGTCCAATCATCGCCTTCGCTCCCCATCCCCCCTGACGAGAGCTAGCAAAGCCAGGCCTGAAGTGTATAAAGAACCTCACAAAAACTCTAGTAGGAATCTTGCCCACAAAGAATCTTTCAGAGATTCTCTCACGTACGGAAAATTGGAGAGAGAAGGATACAATGACAAGGACTTGTGCGGTCGCCCTGACCGGGAGGAGTCTTGTGGCAAGGATTGCTACAGGAGCAACTCGAGGCAGGCCTCGCGCAGGATGACGTCACCATCTCGTAATTTATCGCCCGTTAGGATTGGTGTGACAAGGAAGGTTCCTCCGTCACTCAAACACTCTAGTGCTTATCAACCTACCCGAGACAGGTAAGTTCAGGTCAAGTATCGCGTTTTTCTTTGATTTAAATCACAGACATGTTCACGCTATTTATTTTTGTCAAATTATGTGTGTGTGTGTGTTTTTTTTTTGTGTGAAACCTGGCATCGTAAATAGTTAGGGGATATTTTGGTGCGTATACACGATACTTATCGTGTCGGGATATTATTACCCTTACCTTAAAGTTCGTTCTTGGTGTAGTGGGAGAATGTAAAGCATTGCAAAACTAGGAAGGAAGGATTAGATCATAAATTAAAGTTCAATTTTTAAATTGGTATCATAAATTTAATTTTGGTGTCCTAAATTGAATAAGGACGCAATTTTTTTTATAATTTTAGACGAGTCAAATGAGAGTTTTTTTGTAGAAAGTGAGTTATAACGGGACATCTGCTAATTGGTGTATACATGAATTTTATTCATACTAACGGGTTTTGAGATTCTTAAAATGCAGAATTATTGATAGTGGACAACGCCGGGCTAACCTGCTAGTTTTTATATAACGTCGCGATCGAGAGTTTATCGTTTGTGAGGTTTCTTTCATAATTTACTTGATTCGCCATAAATTTTATTTTCAGTTTTCATTAACGGAATCCTTCAACTTGTTGATCTCTAGAGATGGTAGCCGATTGCCGTTTAGTTTACGTTCTAATAGAATAACGTTCTGAAGCGTTAACGAATAATTCCGACCTCATCGTTTATTTTTATCCGTATTCAGTCGGTGTTAATTAATATGCTGATTACGAAGTCACAATATACTGTATTTATTTGAGGTAAGAAATCGACTCGTATTCTCTAAAATTATTTAAATATCAGTCGTAACTTTTGAATTGTTAAGTCATTAGCTGCTTTTTAATAAGAGATTTTCTAGACTATGTAGATATAATTTTGGAAGACAGTAAGATACTCGCTGCAAGTGAACGGGACCTGTGCACAACTTTTCTGAGCAGAGTCCCTTTAAAGCTATCCTAGGGCAGGATCGGTCGGAAGGGTCGATTCTACAGGATGTAACCTGTGTCCTAAACATAGGCACAATTCGTAGAAACCGTTGATGTAGTGGCACGTAGGTATCAGGAACCCGAGGCCGAACGCTCCCAAGAGGCAAAGTGCCCAGAGTTCAATAGACATGTGGGCGGAAATGGCTTCACGGCGATCGCCGAAAACGGGTTACTCAAGACACTTCGCTTTTGCTGCCGACTGGATCGTAGTTCGCTGAGCTAGACTGATAGGAGTCTGGCTCTCTGCATATAATTTTCAAAAAAATATCGCGCAAAATAAGAATTTTCAATTTCGTGGACGACTTTGTAAAATAAATTGTAAGCTCGCATAATCATTCGATTGCCGAGTAACAAATCACACCTAAACTATTTCAGCGGGTCTTCATTATTCTGCACAAACCCTGGTTTGTTCAATAACAGGTTGAAAAATAGTAAAATCTTGTTGAATTCAGTTGTTTCATCTTTTAGTTTTTCAATGTGAGACGAGAATTCCTTTTCATTTACCTGGATATTACGCTGTTCTAATTTCTTGATTTTTAACAGGAGCGAATCTCCGGTCTCTCAACGAGAGAGATTCCACGACGCTCGGGATAAGTTTCTGTCACTGGAGCGCGAGTGGAGACGCAACGGCGACATGCGAGGTTCTACGATACCCATTGCAGACACGGCCGTCGCAGCGTCCAGACGAAGCAAAGGCAACATATGTCGACGGAGGGATAACCGCGAGGAACTCGGGTGGCCGAAGACCGACCGAGACACCGGTTATGGCTCTCGGGACGGCCTTTTGAGGGACAAGCGCGCCGGTGGCCGCGACTATGACCGAGGCTACGGCACGTGCGATACAAGGGACTCGGAACACTGGCTCCGAGAATTAGAGAGAAGATCCCCTGACTACTGGGATGTAAAGGGTGCGCCCGAGAGGTCACTCAGCCCATCGCATCGCTATGAGAATAAGAATTATAGGTTCCTTCGCAACCGATCACCCGATCGAATCGATCATCAGAGGAGCGAGTATCAGCGAGCGAAGTCTATGCATGATCTTAGCAGAAACCGTTCTGCGGTAGAAGATGACGTGAAAGGAGATCTACGGCGGAGATCTCTGTACGACGCATTAGACAACAACTCACACTTACAGAAGTCCCGTAGTCAGCAGCATCAGGGCCTTCAGTATCATTCCTACGGTAATCTTGGGCCCGTGCGCAGTTCTACTCCATCTTCCTGCTCCAGTGCTGGTCAGTCAGGCCAAGGGTATGAAATACCAGAGTCTCAGAGGTATCCTGGCCTGGATCGAGCCACCGCTAGACCCGATCCTCTTCTCGCTCCGCGGTATGCGGGATTCAGCAAACGCACCTTCGACTATCCCGTTAACGGCGGCCAAGCGCCTATCCACATCAGTCGGGCTCACCATGACGACTATCGACGATTCCGTTACGATCATAACCATGGGCAGTTCACGCGATCCACAACCATCTCTGGCGTGCCGTATTGAGGTCTACATCTTTAGGCATCCCACTATTCCCCTCCTCGAATGTTTGTTTTTGCCTTTATAAAAGTACCGATTCAATCCGAATTAATTGTTGATAAGCGATCTCAACAGTAAAAATTCTTGTTCGAATTTCATTGGAGGTGTGAATGCTCATCGGGTTAAATTTCTGTATCTTGTTCATGCGAAGAAAATCTTTATTGTTCCGTTGATAGGCTCAGTTGATTTGAGTTCTTCAAAAAAATTTAAATCCGAAAGTTGTCAGTGGACTCATCGAGAGGATTTTTATCCACCATGGCAGTCACTGAACACTAAGTCCCTACAATATATGGCACTGTGTAGCTGACACTCGTATGCCACTGCTCTAACACTTCTTATGCTGACTTGCAGCTTCGTTTTTAGCGCATTTTCTCATTTATGGAAAAAATGCACTATTGTGCTCGCCATGTCCGTCTGTCCGTGACCTCAAGTTTTCGGCGACGAGAAAATGCGCTCTCTGTCACTCACTGCAGTGAGTACCGTACTGAGTTATATTTTTTAAATTTATGTTCTCTATGCGAAATAGAATATTTGCGTTTGAATTGTAAGCATTAATCAACAACCCACGCCTTGTTCCTCTGTAGAAGTTCAACGAACCCCATAAGATCTGTTAGATTTTTATTATTACATTATTTTCCGTCCATTTTTATGTTAGCGATTTTAAAGGAAAATCTATTTTAAAGTTGCGTCCGTTAATTTTTCCGATTCATTAATTGCTGTTCAAGAATTATTGTTCGAACTTTATTTTATGTCTTATAATAATTTAATTTCTAATGCAAAAAAGCTGTGGTCCTGAAATTCATTGATGTGTAACCAGGAAGAAGTATTTTATAAAAATATCTTTAGAGGTTTGCATTATTTCTTTGTTGTCGAGATTATTAAAAATCGACCAATTATTTAAAAAATTTACGATTACTTGGCAATAGAATTAAAAGGAAGAATTCTCGTAAATTTCCTGTGAAATATCAGCAGGCAGTAAAATATTAATGATATTGCTAGTGTACATAACACATATTTATGTATATACTAACTATGCATCGTAATTTCCACCTTTCAGTGCTATACTTCACTGTAACGGTTGCTGTGCCTGCAATTTTAACAGTTTAATTCAGCTGAATAATTTTTTATATTCGCTCTGAATTCAGCATCCGGTGAATTCAAGAATTGTCGGAAGATTTAGTGAATGGTTTGTTGATAATTTCGACGATTGCTTTTGTCTTGCTTGTAATAATCGGGCAAGAAAGTTTCAAAACTAAAACGACAGATATTTTTAATATTTGTGATCTGCGTACGCCGCTATCATTTCGTGAACGATAAGCAATCTTGTTTCAATATTCTATCTATGCACATTAACTCATTACGCCATGTACTACCATCAGGTATCTCGTCATGATAATTTGATATTTACGGCTAAGTTGATGACGTCATACTGCTTATCTCGCGATGATATTTCTCTTCGCAAGTTAAAACTAACAACAAATCAACAAGTTGTTTTGTTAGTAACTTCTACAATGTAAAAAATTGTTGATGGTGTAGCGTGCTGACACACAGCAGTTTAGCATTGAATCCTATACAATTAATTTACCCCTACCAGTGCCGTTATCGAGTGTTGCAGTGAACACATCCGTGAATCACTGGAATTCATTGTTAATGATCATTCAACGTAATCCAGGAATGAAGAATAATTATTCTGAGCAGTTACCTGCCTCAAAAAATCTAACGACGCCAAAGTCGTGGTAGATGTTTATTATTTTGAGATGAGGTTGGGTTCCGTTTACGAGATCTGCTCCAAAATCCCATTGTGTTCCTGCCTCTGTATTAATGAGTTAGGAGAAAAGTGATATTTTAATTAACTCCATGAAACTTTACTGTTATAATACATCTCCTAGCTCGAAATTTGTGAATAAAATTTTAGAGATTTATGTGGTCATTATTCTGACCAATTAACCTTGCACTACTGGTAGCGCTTTCTTAAGCTTATCTGCGCTTTTCATTTGACACTTTTGTTGTGTGTTTCTAAGGGTCTTGCTAACACGCAAATGATGTTGGAACAAACCTTTGTAATGAGTAAATTTCGATGAGCCCGACGTATAACGATGTTGTTTGACGTCTGATGTGTGGATTTTTCCCGAGCTCCCCAAAGTTTATTTTCCGTGCTTGATACGGTCACGGTAGGGGTAGGGGACGGTCTTCTCAGCTGGCGCGGTCACGGCAGTGGACGGCCAACGCAGTCTTCTCAGCTGGCACGGTCACGGCAGTGGACGGCCAACGCAGTCTTCTCAGCTGGCCCGGTCACGGCCTGTCTCTTATACACATCTAGATGTGTATAAGAGACGCGCAGCATGAGCGTGACACACACGCGCTGCATGAGCGTGACACACGCGCGCAGCATGAGCGTGACACACGCAGCATGAGCATGACACACGCGCAGCATGAGCGTGACACGCGCGCCATGGGTCGGAGAGAAAGTGTTCGGGACGCGCGGCAGAGGAGGCTGCGGCTGATGTAGACCGATCGCGAGTAATGGCAGGAAGCCAGCTGACTGAGCAGTAGCTGCTTTGTCTTTCTACGTCGAATCGATTATTTTTGCTCGGTCGAATGAGAAAGCTCGCTATTGTGGGTGTTCATGAGTGATTTACTGTCGAGTATTTGTCTACAATCTTTACATTTGATGGAACTGTGCTACATTAGAGTTAGAAATTAAATGAATGAGATAGCTGTAGGTTTCGTGTATTTTACACTCCAATGTGGTGGTAGTTTGCATTTAATTTGGTGAGAATTTCATCAATCGCTGTAATGCGATGTATGTTTCAATCTGCGTTGCCCTGAATTCATTGTCTGAAAGCTAATTCAAAATTCATATTTTGACTGAAGGAGATTGAAGTCTTAATTTTCCAACCACAAACACTTCATGAAATTTTGTATTCACGCGTTTGGTCTTGTTTTGAGTGCACCTCTCGTTTAGAATTTCCGTATCCAGACTTTTCTAATGAGAAATAAGGTAAATAATTAGTAAATTTTTACTCCTTGCTCCGAAGTAAGAAGAACCAACCATTTAATAAGTATTAATTATTTAATTGTACGTTTTATTGTCTTAAATAAATTCATACGAGATGCCTAACACATACTATATATATATGCTTCTCGCTATCTACTAGCTTAGAAAATTTCAAAATTTCTTGGTTCCTTCTCCGCGCTCAAAAAACGGCACCAAAAAGAGAAAAACGGCATGATAGAATTTCGAACAAATGCTGTCCATTCCAGAATGCCATTTCATATTGTAATTTTGAAAATGTCATGCAAATTCTATCCTTTATGGTGTTACTCGTACTTTAGACCAGTGGTTATGAGTCATAGGCTTTTGTACAATTTTTTTCTTCGCCGGTAAGGATTTCAGCTTCTATGAAGTTAATTGGAAGGTTGTGTGTTTTTTTAGGATAGAGGATATTTATTTTATTATCGGACAAGAGGCGGGTAGCCCTCCCCTGATCTGCTTCCCCACGCGCTGCTCCCCTCCCCTGATCTGCTTCCCCACGCGCTGCTCTCGCCGTGCAGCTGAGAAAACTTTCTCCGCGCCCCACGCGCCGGCATGGCTTTCTTCGGCGTGCCTTGCAACGACCTGCCCTGGCACGTCAGGTCATTTCCTGTCTCTGTTGGGGGCAACGAGCACTTCTGCCGGGCATGTGTACCTTACAAGACGACATTAATATTGTGTGCCTTAGAGGTGCGCATGTATAGTATATACCGTACGTTGCAGGTGGACATGTATAATATACGTATAGGTACGTTGCATGTGGACATGTATAGTATATATCTTACAGGCGCACATGTATAGTATATACCTTGCAGGTTGACATAGTATACACTTTGCAGTTTATATTTATAGTTTACACCTTTCAAGATGATCATGGATGCCAATTAGGTGGTCGTGTGTTCCTTGCAGGTGGTATTCTTAACTGTTAACAATTTCAGACCTAATGGAATTTTGGAAGAGCTATAATGAATAAAAGTGTTGGAATCATTATGCCCTGAAAAGCATCTTTAATGATGGGAAGCGTTCCTGGGTACCTCAAATTGGGACTGAAAATATCAATTAACGAAGAAAGTGAGAGAGGCCCAAATTCTAGACCAGTGACCTTAATCTTGCAAGTAATCAAGAAGATAAGGAACGGCGGGGCCAGAATGCTAGTTTTCATCACTACCTCACATCCTCCTCCATCGCATGAAGAAGGCTGCTAAATTATATAATAGTGGACAGCAAGGTTTACGGAGTAATCGCTCTTGCTTGTCACCGTTGTTTTAGTTTTATTATCATCATCGTATTGAGGGTTTCATAGATGTGTAATCAGGCGTCGACGTGGTTACATAGACGTAGTGAAAGCTTTGACCAAGTTGATCACGGAGAAGGTCTAACTGGATCGGGAGAAGCTTGTTAGTGTGGACTGTGAACCCACAACTTTAACTCGCAGAGCACAACCAGAGCATGGTTGAAGACTTGAAATCAAGGGAATGCGTCAGAGTTTAGTGATTTGATCGATTCTCTTTCTCACCCAAATTGCCGAGATAGAATTGAGTTGGGATACGCATTGACATCATTTACGGATGATACAGGAGTACCTACTGAAGAGGATTGCAGACTAGCTAAAACTGCGAGAGACCACTGAAGGGCAGAAGTTAGGACACAGAAACAGAAGGTGATTTGACCGTATTTCATGATAATTGAACGGTTACACCGCCAAGAGTTCCTTGACAGAGATTAGGCTATAGGGTACCTCTGTCACCACAAGTGTTCAAAACTTCAACCTAACTACATGTACTATATAAAAAATATAACTCAGTACTCGCTGAAGTGAGTGACAGAAAGCGCATTTTCTCGTCGACGAAATCGTGAAGTCACGGACGGACAGACAGACAGACGGACGGACATGGCGAGCACAATAGCGCCTTTTTTTCATAAATGAGAAAATACGCTAAAAAGTGTACGTGCTACTCCTTCTGGAGTACCTACTGCAGGCTACCAGCTACCGTTGCCGTTCACGGAGGGTTATGTGTGGTAATTGTACAGGCTGTCCAGCGATCCTTTGCGTCATGTATCAAGAGATGCCAGAGCTGGGATACTGAAAAAGACTAGGACTTGGAGAGGTGTATCATCCTATACACGTGGAACATGATAAATAGACGGACCCTCAACTTTATGAGACCTTCAGATTTCGACCTATAACATTAAGAAGATGGTGCGCTGCGCAGGATACCCCCATCTATCTATAGATCTGTGGCCGCGGATTTCAGACTAATTGTGGGGATAAATTGCAGTGAATAGGTCGAGGATCTTCAAATGCTTTGCCAACCGAGCGGGAGGAAAGGGAAATTTACCTTCAAAGGACGACTGGATATCTTTTTGAGCACAATCCGACATTGTCCATCTCTGTTTTACAACTCACATCAAAAATCATGCGTTATAGTACGTTTTGCTGCCTCCAGGGGCCGCGTTATTGAAGGAAGCCTGCTTGTCAACGGCTGGGGTTGGCAGACGACGAAGGCGTCGCACCATGCGGCGTGGTCGAAGACGCAGACCTTGGAAACTTCACAAATGGAACCAAGTGGCCATGTATTCCTGTCATGTTATGTGTACCATGCTAGTGATCACTGCAGATAATTATATGAACCTTACAGGTAGTAAATATTTGTGATTCGTCATTGGTTTTTATTTTTATATATGTCTCTCTAGCGATTGTGATGTCCTAGCTCTCAGATTGATATAAAAATAATTTGTCAGTGAGAGTTAACTAAACTTTCAACGTACAGTGATAATGAATAGGGCATAAAGAGGTCACATCATCCCGAGTTGAGAGTGCAAAATTTTCGAGGATCCACTTCAGAAAATGAGGTCGATCTCATCGCCAGCAGCAGTGATCAAGTGCGTCCGCTGCACAGCGCAAAAAGTTTAAACTAGAAAGTGCCTGAGAGCTCCACGTACGCCGGCCTACTTCGGTCGCTAAGCTTTGGCGACAACACTTTGATCTCGGCGCCACCATCCCCCTGATCACACGGATTTTAATTTTAATCATCAAAATTTTTGTCATTGGAAAAATAGTCGTTTACCGAGATCTAAAGCAATACTTCGTGTTAAGGTTGTGTATATGTTGTGCCGAAATCGCGGAATTGCCGATGCTATGGAATCGGCAGCCAATTGGCCGAATCTGTAGAATCAGCATTTCAATACTATAGGAATCTGAGGGTTAGGTCAATCAGCCCAGTTTTTTTACATTCAAATATGAAGGAACTTAACCTAACTTTTTCTAACCTATAACTGTCGATATGTGTTCTCTAATGTCCGATTTTCTGAATCAGCAACGAAATGCTGATTCTATAGATTTGGCAAATTGGCTGCCGATTCCGCGATTTCGGCGCGACATATATAAATGCATGACTTAATAGAATATACAGTACGTTTATAGTTTATTTAAATAGTGGAAGCTAAATTTTAAGGTAAGCGAAGTGCCAGTATTATTTCATCTTCAGAGCATTCGGTGCTGTGGAGTGTTGGAAAATCGAAAACTGAGAATAACTAATAATTAAATGCATCCCACGAAATAATAATGTGTAATTCATGTGCTGTAAATTTGCACGTGCAACTGAAGCCGCAATGACGCGTTTTTCGGAAAAGATAAAGTTATTGTGTGTTGGCAACTGCTTATACATGCCAGTGTATGGATTGTATGCGCAACACGGCGTGTAATGTGTGCCACCAATCGGCTTATTTATATGCCTGTATTGCTCGTGTTCGTTATACGGTTCATGTGATTAATAACGCAATTACAGACCCTTGTTTCCTTCATTCTCACGGCTTTTTATGGAAAGGTGAACTCTCAAATTGAACTTTTAAGCTTTTGTAATCAACCAAACTAACCAGAAACAAAGTAAGAATTTGAGGCTGCCTAGCAAGGTTTCGGCGGCTGTTCCTCTGTGCCTCCTCTAGTCCTGGCGCTGGGGAGAAGACCACAAATCAAGTCGATATTTCTGCTTATTACGCAACGATGATGGGGTGTCTTTGCCAGGGATGAAGTCATCGGACCTCGCCGGGCGTGATGTCAACCGCTGATATTCAACTCCCTTCGTGCGTCGACTGACCATCTCACTGCGTGACTGTCCATCTTACTGCGTAACTGTCCATCTTACTGCGTGACTGACCATCTTACTGCGTGACTGACCATCTTACTGCGTGACTGTCCATCTCACTGCGTGACTGTCCATCTCACTGCGTGACTGACCATCTTACTGCGTGACTGACCATCTTACTGCGTGACTGTCCATCTTACTGCGTGACTGTCCATCTCACTGCGTGACTGACCATCTTACTGCGTGACTGACCATCTTACTGCGTGACTGTCCATCTCACTGCGTGACTGTCCATCTCACTGCGTGACTGACCATCTTACTGCGTGACTGACCATCTTACTGCGTGACTGTCCATCTTACTGCGTGACTGTCCATCTCACTGCGTGACTGTCCATCTCACTGCGTGACTGTCCATCTTACTGCGTAACTGTCCAACTTACTGCGTGACTGTCCNGTCACGGCAGTGGACGGCCAACGCAGTCTTCTCAGCTGGCACGGTCACGGCAGTGGACGGCCAACGCAGTCTTCTCAGCTGGCCCGGTCACGGCAGTGGACGGCCAACGCAGTCTTCTCAGCTGGCCCGGTCACGGCAGTGGACGGCCAACGCAGTCTTCTCAGCTGGCACGGTCACGGCAGTGGACGGCCAACGCAGTCTTCTCAGCTGGCACGGTCACGGCAGTGGACGGCCAACGCAGTCTTCTCAGCTGGCACGGTCACGGCAGTGGACGGTTAACGCAGTCTTCTCAGCTGGCACGGTCACGGCAGTGGACGGCACACGTAGTCTTCTCTGCAGCGTTTCCTTCATTCCTCTTCGCTGGCTTACGAGAGCGGGTGGCCATGTTTCAGCTGTCTGCACTTTTCCTCCTTGCGTCCATGTGTAATGATCGTTTTTTTCAACACCAGCTTTGGCGTTATGATCAACCACAACCTTTACATCTCTTTGAGGAGATAAATAATTTCAGTTGGAAAGTTGATTTTGGATACATTTTTGGCAAAAATACATTTTTAGGTGCCGGAAAGTTGATTTTCGGATACATTTTTGGCAAAAATTCTCCTACTAAGTAATAATAATCTTGCATAGCATCTTCACAGAAGCCAATTCGTGTCTGAAAGCGCCGGACGCTACCGTCTCATTCAAAGAAAAATCGATGACAATAAAAACAAATGAATTTCTATGCTTCATACATAACCAGCATCTTTTATCGGAAAATTAATATGTATTTATTTCGTAATTTCGTGTATTTAATTTGTAAATGTTTTACGACTGTCTGCAATATGAACAGGAATTTTAACGAGAACGAGATTGAGAGTTACAACAAGAAGAGTTTGGATTAGAGGAACTTGAGACAAGCTTACATTCACAAATTATTGAGTGTGATGAGCCCACGCATAGATTGACATGTTTCAGAATTATGATGAGCAAATTCAGTTACAGATACGCGGAAAATACACCAAACAACAAAACACATCAAATTTTGAATGGAAAAATTCAAAATTAAAAATTTTACTCACACTCGGCGTGTGCAACGCATGGAGCATATATGAAAGAAGTAGCATCTTCAAAGATACCAGATCAGTGCCGATCTGTTTTAGTGGGCTTCATATTTTTGAATTACGGTACAGAACATGATGATTGTTGGTCAGATGAAGACACTCAAAGTTACCCTGATACTCTCTTCCTATGTAAAAAGACGTCTAAAGCAAGCTGAAGTAGGTAGAAGAGTCAAACACTGGAATTATCATTTAAACACCACCATATTAGGCACGACATACACAGAAATTGAAACAAAATTCGAGTGTGCAGAGAGAGAATATCGACTAAGAATTTATCGTTTAAATCACGATCAGTAGCAGCTAGCATAGACGAAAATAAGGAATTTGAAAGAAACGAATCACTATAGCATTAATACACATAACTAATATCACGCTAAACTCGTCTAATATTAGACGAAGGTCACGAGGCATAGAACAAACGACGCTGAAACTAGCGTACAAGAACGCTCAAGTGAAGAACCTCCGACGCAACATCCGTGCTCTGCCGTCCTACAAACAACAGGTCTAAATGTATAGATTGCCACTACAGCTCGGTTGATTGTCACGAGTAATGCAACTGCTAGCAAAGATAAGCTCTAATATAGGCTTCAAGTCCTAGACTAAAGGCAGAAGTGCCTCGACTCAACTCGCACCTACTTATTCATCAAGACTTTCTCCCGACGAGACAATTTTTTGTGAAAAAGAATCGGTTATTCACGCATTTTACTCTTAATTAGAGCAATTACTAATCTTCAAAACTTAACATTTTCACAACGTATGCACACAGTGTGGCGAATTACATACAATTCACAGAATTACATACAATTCACGATTTCAAACGCGTTCAATAATGTTAGAAATTTTGATCACTTTGGTCGCTTTAGGAATAATTAAGTTATAATAATCGACCTCAGCTTCTTTACTGCATCATCCATAATTTTCACGGACACCGACTGAAGAATTTTGCTTAATAATGTCTGCTCAATTACGAAGCACGCCATTTATAAGGCTATCGATCGCCATCTATTAATCACACTACCAAGTCCGCTAAAGCAGGCTCGCACGCTATCTAGTGAGTCAATAACAATGGTATTGCTAAGCCAACGCAAGACGCTCTTCTAACTCGACTACTTTCTTTCTAAGCGCCGAAAATGGCTGACATTATAAAGATAAGACATACAGATCAAAGAGGACGTTTAGAGGAGGCAAAGGCTAAGACAAGTTTGGTCCGAAGGGTGGAGAGAAATGGCTCAAAACATTCGAAACTGGCATTGAGATGACACATCTAACATTTGGGCAAAGCGTAAGTTCTGATAATAAATATATGGATGGAAATATAACTCTTGGATTATGGAGATCGTGCCTGGGTGGAGATCACGCCAGAGAGGAGACCACGCCAAGGAGGAGACCTCGCCAAGGAGGAGACCTCGACAAGGAGGAGACCTCGCCAAGGAGGAGATCTCGCCAAGGAGGAGACCTCGCCAAGGAGGAGATCTCGCCAAGGAGGAGACCTCGCCAGAGAGGAGACCTCGCCAAGGAGGAGACCTCGCCAGAGAGGAGACCTCGCCAAGGAGGAGACCTCGCCAGAGAGGAGACCTCGCCAAGGAGGAGATCTCGCCAAGGAGGAGACCTCGCCAAGGAGGAGATCTCGCCAAGGAGGAGACCTCGCCAGAGAGGAGACCTCGCCAAGGAGGAGACCTCGCCAGAGAGGAGACCTCGCCAAGGAGGAGACCTCGCCAAGGAGGAGATCTCGCCAAGGAGGGGACCTCGCCAGAGAGGAGACATCGCCAGAGAGACCTCGCCAGGGAGGAGACCTCGCCAAGGAGGAGACCACACCGCGGACGAGATCACACCGCGGACGAGACCACACCGCGGACGAGACCACACCGCGGACGAGACCACGCCAGAATGAAGAGAGTACCAATGAGAGGACCACATTAGACCAGGCCTGAGTACAGGGGACCAACCACACCTAGGGGCACCAGCCACCAACTTCAACTGTCGACGGTCTCATGTACACGAGAAGACGAATTAACGCATATTAGTTCAGGCGACGAGTAATTAAATGATACCGTGTGTGATGACCAGTGAACAAAGGTTGATTTACGAACAAGCATCATCGCCAGTTTAACGCCTCAGAGCGGAATGGCACTGTAGTTGCCAATACTTGTTGAATGTGGCAGCTTCATCCCGCTGTTTCGCAGGAACTCTGCACCACGCACCTCTCACTTCAAAGGATGGATCCGTCTTTGTCGTTAGAACAACATGCGAGCTCAAGGTTCATTGAGAGAAATTACAATGCCGTTTCAGTAGAGGAAACAGGTGGGTGGCGTATGGCAACAGTTGCAATTCGTAGCCATATCATCTCGGGTTATTTCAACATTTTTATCCAGTAAGAAGAAATAAAAATTTCTTATAGCCACTCAAGTGTTCGCATATCACATGAAAGTCCCGAAAATCAGTTACAGGAACAATGTTTTAGCGTGCACTGTTTTGGACTATAAGCTAGAAGTCTAGTGGATCTAGTATAAAAGTTAATAAGCTCAGAATCTAGACGAAGACTACAAGATTGAAGTGAAGTTTAATATTATTATTGTAGTATTCTCAAAAAGGTATTATGTAAAAAGCCAGAGTAAAGATTCCTAAACTACACTGCCTTGATAAGCTACAGCTATAATCTGACTATTTCTCGACAGTGCTGATCAAAGGAGCCATTGCCACACAAACGTGGAACTAAGCTAGAGTTGCATCCATAGACGCGAACATGACAGCACCGACAGACGCCCGGACGTCTGGAGTGTTTGAATTAACGCGTTAGCCAAACGACATCCTCAGCCAAGTATTGCTGTCACAAAAAAACTCTCCTCTAGGAGCATTATCAGAGGAAAGAGATAATTACTTGTTAATACCCACAATAATATCTGCAATCTATGATTGTTATTTTGGCAGTAAAAATTGCATCTAGGCGACTTAATCCAGAACAGTACTTTTCAAGCGTCAGATAAAACGCATGAACGACTTGACACAGAGAAAACTTTCAGAACTCGCTATGAGAGACAGACAAGATCATGGTGATAGTTACACAGCATTCATATACTTGTGAATGAACGATTTTCAGCTTCGCTTTATTATAAAAAAAAAAACACCATAAATGGTAATCAAAAATGGCCCACCAAGATAATTATGGCGTATCATTTGAGTAATTGGAATGATCATTTGGCTGATCATTCCGTCTGATTGATATTTTCGTCGGTGAGATACAGGGTTCCACAGGACACACGTCACGACGCCGATCTAGGAATCGTCAAACTTTGTTCCGCTCCGATCAAATTTTGTAGAAATGAAAGCGTTCTAGTCTTTGTCATCTTAAATTGAAATATGAAAGTACGGCAATACAAGAGAGAACACCAAAGCAATGTCTTAGTCTAATTACAATGTTTGGCACATCCAATACCGAGCAAAGACACATAGAAATGAGTGGACGGATTGAACACATTCCTATAAGACTAACTAAAAAATTTCTGCATTAACTTGACTACCACAGATCATTATCACACATTAGAACTGCATGAAAGCAATAAAGTAGGTAGCTGAAAAATTTAAAGACAATATTCAACATTTGCAGCGTAAACATGAGGAACCATGTTTTGATTTGACTGTTGAACATAGGTACGTATCAACTTTTGGTAAACGTTCATGAGATGCAAAGTTGATGTATCAGTCACTGTTGACGATAAAAACAATTTTCAGCGTTGGTAAAATTTGCGAGAAAGAACTCGGCTGGCTTGGAAGGCACAAAATTAGGCCCTATCTTGAAATCTACGACCATTTAATGCGATATCATTTGCTATCTGAGGAGATAAAACTAGAGACAATGACTGAGCCAAATAAAAGAAATTAACTAAAACCAATTTGGCTTAAAGGAAATAAATGATAGGACAAGTACTTATTGAGTGAAATAAATGGTATTAAGCTGAATTTAAATTTGAGATCGCAGATAAAAACTGGGTTTGAAGAGCACAGCCAATCTTCAGGACCAGCTGTAGCAGCTAGACACGGAGAAAGCGCAAACTTCCCTGGTTGCATTGCAGAATAATAAGCATGCAGTTGACAGCTGAGATAAACTGACACATCCACAACAGGCTCGGGTGTACGAGGATCACACTTCCTTATGAAAGAACAATGAATTTATCTTTCTTTTATTCCCGTTGGGTTTCCAATTAAAAAAAATATACATAAAAAGCTTGTTTTCATCAACACAAAAACTGAACTCAAGCGTTCAGTTTCAACTCGATTTGGGTATTCACGCTCGATCCATCAGTTCAGAAATAATTTGCGAAATATAGGAATCTTATAGTTCTGGTCGTTTGTAATTAACATCGAGATTAATTTGGCAGAAATTTTCGAAAATGTTTTTCACAAAACAAAATCAACAGCTTCTCATAAAAAGTCATGCAGATGATCAATTGATAGCTTGTAGTCTAAGTCAAATGTCCTAAAGATGTTATCTGGACATTATTTGCTTAGGCGTTTCATGGATCCATAAAAATTACCGCCTTCATACGGAATGGAGGCACCTTTCACGATACAGAAACAATAAGCTATCACGTTGGCAGGCACCGCTGAAATAAATAGCTACTCTCAGGGACAGAGAGAGTTAAAAGTAATGTCAATGTACGTATAAACACCAAAAAACATAAATAATTAATAAAATCACAAGTGAACGAAACACTAGAGGGAGGTAGAAAATGAGTACACTAGGGGCAAGTTTCAAGTCGGAATTGTTTTAAATAATATAGAATTATCGCATTCTCAGGGGCCTCTAGCATATAATAAGAGTAAAACAGTAGCGAAAAAAGTTGCAAACTATTTCGAATGGGGAGCTATTTGAATGAATTTTAAACTAGACATGAATCTATGTACGCACATGGGAATGCTCTAGCTATTCCTTGTCTCACGATTCGTTTCAGGAGACCTACCGAAAACGCGCTAAATTGACACAAAACAATGGTGAAACAATACTTATAATGCAACGGTGAAATTGACTCAACAATAAATATGATTAAGGGTCAGCCATGACACTACGATACGGAATGCCTGCACTGCAGCAGCACTAGCGCGCCTCAGCACGCAGCACAGTGCAGTACAGTGCTGCGCACTAGTCCACTGTGTAGTGAAGCGTCTTGTCGGGCAGCTTGAAGTTCACCTCCAGAGCTCGCACGTCGTGAGGGTGTCGCTTCACAGAGATTGAAAGCTTCATCTCATCACCTGTACATACACAACAATCAATAAGAAAACTATACATACAACCGTAATCAATAAGTAAACTACACAGGCAACTGCAATTAAGAAGAAGCAACTGCAATCAATAAGAAAACTATACATATAACCGCAATCAATAAGTATACAACACAGAAAACTGATATTAATAAAAAAACTTTATTCTAAAAGCAACTGCAGTCATTAAGAAAAGTACACACAGTAAACAGTAATCGATGAGAAAACTATGCCAACAGCCACAAACAATGAGAAAACATCATCCGCAGAGACGAAGAAAATATTGAACAATTGCGTATTCACTTGAAAGAGGAAAACATGAAATATGGGAACCATCAATGCATTGCTTTGTAAAGTTAGTGAATTGAAAATCTAGTTTTGCGCGAGTAAAACCTTCGTTGATGGGCAGAGGCTCTGGCAAAAGGAAGACTGTTTGCTTCCAGTGCGTGGTCTTCACAGTGGGGCTGGTGCTGAAGGACACGGAGTGCGGCAAATCAAAGTGGGTGTTGAAGTAGCCTGCGACACATGATAAATATTCTAAACAAAGCACATTAAACATAAATAAGTTTTCTAGAAACAATTCTGCATTAGCGTATGTATTTTTAGTCAGTACAAGCTAGAACTTGAATATCTTGATTTCCCTTGAGATGTTAATTTTGTACTACATAAAATTTTGAGAAAATATTCCCAAGCTCTTCAGTGTACAGCTTTGTCTGGTTATTATCAGATATTATTAAGAATCATATAAAATGACCTAATGCAACCTATTTCCATAAAAAAAGGCAAATCAAAAGAATATATAGCCATTAATAACAGCACCCACCCGCGAAGGCGGTCAGACTAGTGGTTCTCGAGGCGACGAGCGAGAAGTCGGAGACAAACTGCGTGTCGGCGATGGTGCATTTGTTCAGGTCAAACTCGGCTATTTGAGCTGCTCAGAAAAGAGGTCATCATTATGATCATATAAAAAAATTGTCTAATCACAATTTGTGTGAATTATTTCAATACCTGTACAGCACTCACGATCCTGACAATATTCATAGAAAGATATTTACGAGTGAAAATTTAAGGTAAGTTATGGTAAACCTGATATACGAATGCTAATAAATAATCATTTAGTTGATAAAATGAGGAATAACTTTAAATACGTCAAATATCTCTAAAATATGGAAAGTGAGTCAGCATTCGAAAATAGGCAACGTGGCAAACCTGTGGAAGTGGCAATCGTAGTCTCTCTGACAGTGATGGTGCTAGCAGCCTGGAGCCACTTCCTGGCTATGCAGCTCATGTCAAAACCATACACGTTATTCCAGAACTGGCTGTACTGAGCGTACATCTCTGCAACAGATGCCATAAAAAGCAAATTTAACCTACGTGAGATACCCAAAGAAAATTGTCAAATATAAAATAGGATAAAATACCCAACGCAACAAGAAACATGATAATAGTTAAGAGTTCACACACATAAAAAGAAGAAGAGGAACAAAATTAGCTTAGAATAGGTTAGGACTAAAGAAATATAGAGATAACTAAAATTAAAATTTTAGTTATTTCGGTAAAGGTACAGTTAAAAAGTTTTCATACCGACCAAATTCAATCTAAGCTTCCATATTTTTGTGTAGCTACGTTATATCGTGAAATCAAGTTTATATGTGAAACCATAGAACACACCAACGCTGCAACGAAATTATGAGATATTTAAAATAAATCACACATAACAATCGGAGATAATTCTAAAAATATACCGTATATATATCATTTCGAGATAAATATCTCAACATTCATACCAGATTTGGTGGGCTAGCAAATACGCAAACACTTTGATCAGAAATGGTCGAGTAAATAGTGAAAATGTGTACCCAAGGCTAACTTGAAACCAAAAGTTCGAAAACGAGCAGCATGAAATATGTACCACTAAAGCCGACAAAAGCACCCGCTTCATGGCTGCCTGGGCCTATACTTTCAAAAAAAGTTAAGGGATCGTAAGTTCATCCGCCAGTCATTGACGGCCTTTCAAGCCAAATCCACCAATCATAGACAAGAAAATAGAGCGTAAGTACTTACGTTCACTTAGCTAGTTTTAAAAGTATGGCCCCAGAATACTAGTTTCAAGCACGGGCTGTTGCAGTTCGCATATGAAAATAAATGAACCTTTGTCATCAATGGCAATGATGTGAAGTGTGCATCGGTTGGGCATCATGAGGCCGCCAGGTGCTAGGAACCTGTCCCTGGCATAGATGACTGAGTCGAGCATGCCTTCAAAGAGCAAGAAGTAGCCCATCCACTCGGAGACGATGATGTCAAACTTCTTGGGATAGTCTTGATCTTCGAGACGTCCTCGTGTCACCTGGACGACTCCATCAAGCTTGTTGGTTCTATTCAACAAGAGGAGAAAATACGTTGTCAGCAAAAGAAATTTACCGACATTCATTATCATGATCATGGTTCATCTACGTTTCCCCCTTTGAATGGAATAGATTAGGAGTATAATTTTTGGTTTATAATGTTGCATTCAAGAGGGGAAGGTACATGGTCAACGGAGAATGAATTGGAAAAGCCCAAGCATTTTCAGTGCTCACATATATTTAAGCTAATTTAGAATTTCTCCTCGCAGCCGGCTAGAAGGCAATGGTAGTGGGTTGCACAGGATTGGTAAGAAAAGTTATTTGCATCAAAATTTTACGTAAAATTTATAGATTACTTCAATAAAACTGTTGAATCTAATTTTTTAGAGTTTTTGGAAATACTTTCCTGGTGTTTTATATAATCAGAATATTACAAGATAAAAGCATGGATGAAATAAAGAATTATTTCATTAAAGATATTTGAACAATTAATTTTTAATGCCTTTTAATTGTAGTGATTTTTTAATCACTACAAGGACATCAATAAAGAGAACTACCTATCCATGAGCAGGGTCACACTATATAATATGGAGGCATACAAAACTTCATCATCATTTATGCATAAATAATTTCAGAATTGTTAAGAAACAGATGCCAGAGAGTCATTCCATTCACAGCTATAAAAATAATGGTGTACAAATGCAATTGTATGTTACCTGATAATTTCCATTGCGTCAAATGCCACAGATGCCATGTCTATGGCCTGCACTGCAGCAGCCTTAGCTTGCGCGCAGAACATGGAGAGGATTCCAGTCCCGCAGCCCAGATCCAACACTCGCTTCCCTTCTATCACTGATGCATTACTCAAGATCGCCTCACGGTAAGCTGTTGTGCGCACCGTGTCCTGTCAAGAAAAGGGTTTACTGTGAGTAATGCATGACAAGAAGGAATTTTGAATCATTTGGAAGATATTTTAAGAAAAGAATCCAATTTGCATGGAATGAACGATGTTAAATTTCATGCTAAAGCTTCAGAATTTACATTCAAACACTGCACCAAAAAAAAAAAAAAAATTGACAACAACAATACAATTTCAACAAATTACAAATTTTAACCTCCAAAGTACCTAAGGGAATAAATTATTGTTTGATGTCATCGAAGGAATAGGATATAAGGATTAATCAAGAAATAATTAAATCATCAAGGAATAATTAAAGCTTAAGGGATACATACACAAGAGCAAACTGATAATTTACAACAAAACATTAAACCTAAAAATGCTATAATTAAACCTAAAAATGCTATAATTCTACATTTGAAACCTGAGTGTAAATTGAAAAACGTGCAAACTGATAAGGGACATTCACTAATCAACATATTAACTCAGCTTAATAGACTAACACTGAGCATCTCGTGGTGGATTTCATAGTTTGAGTAAGAGTCAAAATATCCAGCATCATCTTCAATGGTGCGCATCCCAACCATTTCTTCTTTCTGTAGAGAAAATAAATAAAAATGAGGTTACATCACATTTTCCGTTTGCTGGCTGATACATTATATCAACATTGAGGCACCTTGAACAAAATCTCCAAAAAATTGCACAATGAATTTTGTAAACAAGATTTTAGCATTATCAACTAAATTTTTGTAGGTACGGTATATTGTCAGGCATTTATGACATCTCAATTCTATAACACAGATCTATTCAGTCATATCATATTTACCAGATAGAAGGGATAAAATAGGAAACTATGAACCACCATTCTCAATAACTAACAAGCTAAGCTAAAACTATGATAATAAACACAAAGCTGGATGAGATACCTTGTATTCAGATTTATCCAGCATGTCACTGGCAAACCTTTTGAGCATTTCACGCTGTTTTCGCACGATAACTCTGAGTTCTTCTCGTTCAGCCTCAACCTCGGCATGGGTTTCAGAATCTTCTCCATTAACCTGATAGCTGTTGCAGATGTTTGAAGCAATGCCTTCAGAGTGCAGGTATTCAAGATGACCTTCCATATCTGCAAGGATTGAGGATGCTAGTGAAACAAGTTTTGCATGCAAAAGATGTAAATCAGTTATGACAACTGATAAACCAACACATGGATTTATAGACATTTTTTTCAATAATTAGAAAAACTCAAAATGTACAATGTGTAATGCTTCCTTCAGTGAGTTTAAATGCAAGTAAACTCCTTGATTGGTAGAAATATAATGATATGAAGAATGTATTATATTAGGATACAAGGGTCCAATGCCATTTCAATCAAGTACGTACAGTCTATGGATGACATGGACAATAAAAATTTCATTGCTGACATAAACTCACCAAATCTCAGGAAGGCATCATCTCTCACATGAGGCATCATGTAAGAGTCATCAAGCTTAGCTACTTGAAATGTGTCACTCTGAATTTTATCTAATGCATTGGAGTGCTTCCTTAAAAAATTAATTACTTTAACATAAGATATTTGATCAACTTTTTGCGACAAACAAAGTTTAATCAAATCAAATTGATGCTCAGCCAACATGTGAGTTATCACAGACTCAGGATTCTCTAAAACTTTTGGGCAACCCAGACATTGACAATCTTGTCTTCCAATAAATTCTTCAACTGTCTTCTTTCCATCTTCCCCTTGAGATACAGGGAAATCAAAGTCTTCTTCGTTGTCCTCTGAGTCATCATCTTGACCCAAGTGTTGGCAGCCATTTGAAAGCTGTGAATTATTTACTAGACCGGATCCATTACAGAAAGTGCTGGAAGTATTTGCAAACTCAGCCTGGGCTGCCAGAGGAGGCATATCTGAATCTTCCATTATTTGACCTGAAAAATTACAAGACAAAAGGAGAAATTGTAGCAGAGATTATCAAATCTGAAGAGTGCATCTAAACTACAAAAAAATTGAGCAATGAAACTGACCAACCAAACCACAATTTGATAAATAGAATTGATATTGAACCTCTATTTCTGACTACACAGTAATAAGTAAATTAATAACAAAATAATTGATCGCAGATTAAAATGCCTATTCTCCCTTCATTATTTTTAAGGTTCTTCAGTTTAAAAATAACACAAAAATGGTTAGTTCTCATGCTGTCTATACTAACCAATTTCTTAAAGAAATACTTGCATAACAAGAACCCAGATTATAGTAGATTTTTCATAAAATAAATTGTAATAACTGCAAAGTATGCAGAAGAAAAAGTTCCCTACCTTCCAGAACAAATATATCAAAATTAAATTAAATCTTGTGAATGATCACTAGGTAATATTTAATATGTCAATTTATTTTTAGACAAATTTTACATACAAAATAAAAGGATAAAATTGTGCTAAAAAAGATAAAACTTTCCTATGGTCACAATAAAACATGAAATAAAAAACTTACAGCTACAGTATGAAGACTTTGCTTCTAACTTGTAGATTAGGAAGTAGAAGTCTTCCACACAGGCCCAAGTAGAAGTAGGTCAGAATTCAACTGGAAAGTTAAAATGGTTATTAGTATGATCTGTAGCCAATCTCAAATAATTGGTAGAATTTTCCAACAAAACTAAAGGTAGCAATGATATTTTAAGTAGGTTAAACTTTGTGAATTGTGATAAAAATTTGTCATTATTCTCAATTTTCAAAAGAGAAAGTAGGTGATGTAATGGCCATAGGGAGAAAAAAGATTCAAATTGTTTGCACCCAAGTTGTAGGTATGTTTTGGTTTCATTCACGAGTGGTTTCTGCCTGCTTTTCCAGATTGGATCTGAGGTCTGCATACTGGCCAAACTAGAAAATCAGGCCAAAACCAGCTGTGATTTGAGATAAAAATGCCTGTGGTCTAGGATAATTTCACCTTTTTCTATTGCTTGTGCCTAATTTGAGAAAATAAAGAAAGAGACATATTTTTCCTTAAATTTTTACATATCTGCAGTGAAAATAATGTTTTTACTTTTATTTTTTTCATAAAAAATTTATATAGGGATTTAACCACTCAATTCAGAGAAATTGGGCAATGGACAGCTCTGAACAAGACAAAAATGACTGTGCTTGCTGGTGTGGAACATGCCTACCAGACTACCATTCAAGCAGTAACTAGAGCTTTCACATAATTTTTCAAGCCATGAGTTTCTTGCTTGATGAATTATCTCTCATCTAATTATTGATAAAATTAGTATAGGTTGGCAGAATTTCTTCTTTCAAGCAGGTTTCATTGAAGACCAGAGAATTTGTTTTATTCGCAATTTTCTTATTAGTTTTTTCAATATATCAAACAATATTTTTAGTTTGAACTGGCAAATCGAAAATCAGGTTACCGATGGACATTTTTATTTCGTTAACGACATTTCGAATGTTTCTATCATTCATTATCAAGTTAAAAGGCGCATTGAGTGATGAAATTAGCGTCTCAAAAGTAGGACCAAGGGGACTGCCCATGGCTACGCTACGTAGGACCAACGGCGTAGCCATGGGCAGTCCCCTTGGTCCTACTTTTGCTGAATACTATATGTGCGAAATCGAAAATCGAGTGCTTTCAGATGAACAGATCAAGCCTGAATTATACTGCAGGTATGTCGATGATATCTTCGTTGTGGTTCGAGATGAAAAACAGCTGAGGAATCTGCGACTGGCCTTTGAGATGAATTCTGTCTTGGAGTTTACATACAAGCTCGGCCAAAATCGTACTTTGCCCTTCTTAGATATAGTCGTCCAAGCTAAGAATAATTCATTCGTAACCAAAGTATACCAGAAACCCACAGATGCCGGGAGAGTCCTTAAATCCGCCAGCAAATGCCCAGAGCACTACAAAAGAAGCGCAATAAGTGCTCTCATCCAACGAGCACTCAAAACCTGCTCCTCTGAAAATGATTTGAATACAGAGCTGAAAAATTGCAAAAGAACCTTAGTCAATAATGGATTTGCAAATAGAACAATTGACAAGGAAATTTCAAAGCTTCGATCGAACCAAAACAGACGCAACCATGAACCAGAGACTGACGCAAACATCACAACCATCTACTATGAGAACCAAATGACCAGCGGTTATAAAGCAGATGAACGGATCCTTCATTCTATTGTTCACAACAACATCGTGAACGTAACTAATAATAAAATTAAACTGCCGATTTATTACAAAAACAAGAAAATACAGAATCTTGTAATGAACAATAACCCCTGCAAAAAAAACGGGAGTTTTCCAAGAGACCAATGTAGTCTATAAATTTTCTTGCAATAGAGAAGGTTGTAGACTTCTCCCCAATATGGACTACATCGGGCTCACAACTACGACATTAAGCCGACGTCTCACGTGCCACCTCCAGTCTGGTGGACCAAAGAACCACCTGATGGAAGCCCACAACGAGACCATCACTTGTACGGTGCTGGAAGAATGCACCAGCATTGTCATGAGATGCCCTGACGCCAACCAACTCATGATAGCTGAGGCCCTCATCATTAAGAATAGGACCCCAGCCATCAACCTTCAAACTGCTGGATTTGTCAGAACCTTGAGACTGTTTTCGGAGTAATTTTCAGTGCTTTGATTCTAAATTATTTTGTGATTTTGTAATTATTCCTAACAATTTTGATTTTTGAGTAGTATCCTATTTACTTGATTTTGTACTTATGTCGATGCTAATTTCATCACTCAATGCGCCTTTTAACTTGATAATGAATGATAGAAACATTCTAAACGTCATTAACGAAATAAAAATGTCCATCGGTAACCTGATTTTCGATTTGCCAGTTCAAACTAAAAATATTGTTCGATATATTGAAAAAACTAATAAGAAAATTGCGAATAAAACAAATTCTCTGGTCTTCAATGAAACCTTATTGATAAAACTGGACCCTTGGGCTATGAGATCAAAATTTCATAAAAAATTGGTCACTTTGTAGATACAATATTTGATTCATTAGTAGGAAAATTCTAACATAGCATGCTTGCAGGCAAAATGTCAAATACATGTGATTTTCTGGCTCTTAAGCCAGACTTACTTAATTTCTTAGATAAAAAATAACAGAGAAATAACATAGTTTCAGCATCAATTTTTAAAAATTGCCTGTTAGAAATAAATAAAAATAGTTTTCATTAGCAAGATTCCAGGTCTCATAGTGTGGCACATGAGTCATTGTAAAATTTATCTCAAGGTCATCTGGTTGTTGAACAACTGCATGCCAGTCGATAGGATTTATGCAGTCGTTAATCGATAGGTTTCTTCAGTAGTTCAACAACTTAACAATGAAAACACTAGTGGTTAAGGGAAGTGGTAAAAAAAACTTTTTTATTTACAGACGGATCACTTAGAAATTTAATACATGTATGTAAAACAAAATTTTAAGACTTTTTTGTTCCTGTGAATTTTTCAAAAAATGAAAGAAAACATGAAATTCTTAGAAAATGGACAAAAAAGGGGAGACTGTAGAAATCTCCGCGGGCCTAGGATTTTCAAGCTACAATATCGAGACACATATCATTCGATGCGTAAAGACCATATCTACAAATTATCTACAAAGTAATAACTCTAACTTGATGAAACTTGGTACTGGTAGTCTGGTACACATACCTATCCATTGAGACATAGGGGTGATGTTTAGCATGTGGAAATTTTTTTAATTTCACCTTCATTCGTGAGTAATATGGCAATATGTGCCAAAATTTGCAGTGAACAAAACATTTTTAGCACATTTTTTCATTTATGAAAAAATTCCCTATTGTGCTTGTCATATCCATCTGTCTGTCCGTGACATTACGTTTTTGTTGACAAGAAAATGCGCTCTCTGTCACTTGCTGCAGTGAGTGCTGAGTTATATTTTTCTAACTAGGTACCGTACTGTACAGATTTTAACAAAACTTTTAATATCCAAACCAATATCCAACTATTCATCAGGACCTAATGGTAATGTTAAGCTTGTAAAAAAATTTTCCATTTCACCTTCATTCGTGAGTTATAAAGCAATTGGCGGCCGAAATTTGCTCTGACCAAGAAATTAATTCTGAACTACTGAACTGATTTGGACAAAACTTTGAATATAAAATCCTAACCTCCCAACGGTGATGTTTAGCTCATGACAATTTTTTCAATTTTTCCTTCGTATCAGAGTTATACGGCTAAACGTAAATGGCTCATTGTCAATGCAAATTTAAAAATTGGCCTAAAAATTGCCGGTGTTATTTCTCCGTATAACTCGCGAACAAAAGCATAATCAAAAAAATTTTCACAAGCTGGGAGGTTAGGAATGTGTATTCAAAGTCTCATTAAAATCTATTCAGTACCGTAGATGAGAAGAAATTTCTTGTTCACTGCATATTTTGGCCCAAATTGATGTGTACCTTACGAATGAAGATAAAATGGGAAAAACTTGAAAAATGATGGTAAAATCCAAAAAATTGTCATGAGCTAAACATCACTGTTGGAAGGTTAGGAATGTACTGTCAAACAGGGTAAAAAGGGACGATTTTGAGCATTTTTTGTTAATAACTTCTTACCATGAAACATTTCAGAAACAAGTTTAGGCTAATTTTATAGCTCTTTGTGAGGGCTATCCAATGGCATCTTCAAAAAAACTCCATATGCTATTTGTAAGGTGCCAGATTCAAAATAAAACCGTCCCGATTTACCCCTGGGAACGGGTTAATCCGGGACACTTGCAATAAAAGTTAATTTTAAAACGTTCAAAGCATGCAGAGTGTACTCATCCATTACTAACAGTACTTTGAAGTCGTCCTCTTTCATTGTAGATGATGTAGATGTAAAATAAATTACCTTTTCTGTGATTTTTACTAGCTTACAGGATGGTTTGTAATTTCAAACAATTTTAATCAAGTCTAGTGATTTCACTGTATCAAAAAAGGTCACGAAAAACATACCGGAAACAGAAAATAATGTTTTAGTGAAAACCATCATATGTTTTGGAGAAATAAATCATAGTTTAGGTCAATTACTTTTCATTCTATGATGCCCGGTGCACAATTCTATATATATCATTCTATGTACAATTTTGTGACAAACAATGATGCCTTAATTTTTCGACAAGTGAATTTTTTTTTGCTGAGCAAGGTAAATGTAATAAAAATTCTTTGTGGTTAATCTATTTTTTTGTTAACTGGAAACTTTGCTAACTGAGGTTCTACTTTAAATGCATTTTTAAGGGTGACCCTTATTACCCGAGGGGGGGGGGGGGGGGTGTCCAGGGTGTCCCGAGTAGCCCCGCCGTGCGAAATGGCTGCCATTTTTTTGCAATGAGATAGGCAAATTCTGTCAATTACATTTTCAAGCTGACACCTGGGTGCAACTTTTATGCAAGTAAACTTTTTTAATACGGCAAATATATTTTTTTTGCTCCAGACCTTAGCAGAGGTACTTTTCCAAAATCGCACTTTTCACACTTTTTTTCAGTTATTTTTTAGAGATAGTAAATTTTTGATTTCTTGACTAGCTTTATACATAATAGATAGTAAAAATGTTGAAGTTTACACCAATATTTTTAGTTTTGCAATATTTTGATTAGTTTAGCTGCTACAACATTTCTACGA